TCTCACTTCCTCCCCGTGCTTCCTTTCTGTTTCTCTTTTGTCCTAACCCTTCTGGACATTGCCCTTGGATCCATGCTGCCCTTTTGGTCTCAAATGGCTGATGATTCTGAGGTATGTGTACCTCACTAGTGTTATTATAGTTGTTAAGTGTGGAGTAGGTTCCAACTCCTAGTGACTCTGTATAGGATGTTTGAGGAGTGCCTGGTGGGCTTGAGTCACCAATCTTGTGGTTAACAAACAGTTCAGTGCTTATTCTACTTTGGTGAGTAGCAACTGGGATCTTAAAAGCGCATACATAAGTGACCATCTAAGGTACAGTTATTGGCCTCTCCCTGTCTGGTGGAAAGAAGAATGATAAAAATTGGAGATGCTTGGAAACAATTCGTCCAATGAACTAATGGACCACGTGAACATTGAGACCAGAAGAACTAGGTGCCTAGCTACCATTACTATAACCCCTATGCTTAAATTTTCAATCAAGCAACAGATAGCTGTAAAGGGAGGCTAATACCAGCGAGGGACTACTCATGCCATAGGAACCCTGGTAGTGTAGTAGGTTATGCATTGGGCTGTTAACAAGGTCAGCTGTTCAAATCCACCAGCTGCTTTGAGGGAGAAAGATGTGGTTTTCTGCTCCTGAAAATGTTTACAGCTTTCCCTACCCAGAGAAGCAGTGACACCAGAGATGGAGGCAGAGATGAGGACATGGAGAGAGGGAGCAGCTGAGGACTCTAGACTCCTGGAAAGAGAAAGGCTGTGTGCTGGCAGCCAGGAGGCAGGCTTGCAGAATGTGCCCTTTGGTTGTTTACATTATTATATATCCCTGAGTGTTTCTGTGTACATCCAAACAACAACAAAAACACAGAGGGAATAGAAGCAAATACTGTTGAATGATGATGCATGGAAAAGATTGTAATCATTGCAATGAAATGAAATATGATAGAATAAGTGTAAAACCGATGTTCTCCCATGTAAACTATCGCTTCATTCATAATAAAAACTTTAAAAAAAAAAGATTTATAGTCTTGTTGTTGTTAAGTGCCATCGAGTCAGTTCCAACTCATAGACCTTGTATAGGGTTTCTGAGGAGTGGCCGGTGAATTTGAAGTGCTGAATTTGTGGTTCAAACCAACTTTGCAGTCCACTGCATTTGCCCCACTGTGCCACACCAGGATGCCAAAGAAATCCTATAGGGCACTATGAGTCAGAACTGACTTGATGGCATACCACCACCATGCATACCAGACAATAGTCGACCATTCTAGATAAAAAGGGCAGCATTTTGCACAAGGATAAAGTTCAGAAATTCGGGAAAGAAGGAGAAATGTAAATAAGAAACGGGGTGGAAGTGGGATAAATGAAATACATTGAGGAGACTGCAACCACTGGAAAAAATGAAATGAAGTGCATGATGGGTTGAATGTAAACCTTCACTCAAGTCACAACAAAAAGGCCAGGAAAATGTGACCTTTTTTGGAAGTATGGTCTTTGCTATTGTTAAGTGCCATCGAGTCAATTCCAACCCATAGCAACCCTGCATAGGGTTTCCCAAGAACATAAGCTTGAACCACTGACCTTGCAGTTCAAACGACTTTGCAGTCTGATGCATTAACGCACAGCGCCACATACCAGGACTGTAACTAAATTAATGTGAGGTCAAACTGGAGGAGAGGGCATAAACCAAACCAAGTCCTTTGCCAATTCTGAGTCTGACTCATGAGTAACCAACCCCCTGACATGTCAAAGCAGAGATGTGCTCTAAAGGATTCCCAAAGGCTGCTTTTGTGACAGCGGACCTCCAGGCCATTCTTCTGCGGTACCTGTCGATCTGCTCTGTAAACCGTCACTCAATTTACAATAAAAAGTTAAAATAACAACAATAGCTTCTGAGGGGATCTGCTGGGCCTGCTCAGTTTAAAGCAGAGAGGTCAGTTTAAAAGATTCTGGAGACTGTTTTATGGGATCCCACAGAGGCCATCTTGAGAGATTTCTTTGAAGGACACAGGACAATCACATGAGTTTATACTAAAGTTTGAAGAAAACAAAAATCCGCATTGGTGGGGAAAAGACCAAGCAAGTTACACTAAGGAATTTTTCCCCATCACCACAATGCACCTGGTCATTTTTCGAAGCTGCAAGTACTGTCCTATGAGGATTTTGTTGGGAAACCATACTCCATTCACCCTCCAGCCCAGATTTTGTCCCTTCAGGCTTCTTTTTGCTCCTCAAACTCAAAGACCATTGAAAAGGTACATGATTTGAGTCCTTCGAGCCTGCCCAAACTGCCATTTTGAAACAGTGTAAATAGAAAAGCACAAAATTCTTCGGGGAAGGATTGGAGAGATGCAAACAGTGCTTTCAGAAGGGTGCAGACCTAGAATGAAGCTATGCTGAGCAACAGCAGCTTCACCTTTTGACATTTTAATAAAAGTCTTCATGATTTTGTTAGCGTTGCTAGGTGCCTTTGAGCCAATTCCGACTTAACAGAACAAAACACTGCCTGGTCCTGCGCCAACGCTGTTGCATTTTTTGAACCCACTGCTACTGCCACTATGCCAATCCATCTCGTTGCAGGGTCTTCCTCTTTCTCATCGACCCTCTATTTTACCAAGCATGATATTCTTCTCCAGGGACTGGTCCCTCCTGATAATATGCCCAAAGTATGAGAGATGAAATCTCACCATCCTGGCTGTACTTCTCCCAACACAGATTTGTTTGTTCTTCTGGCAGTCCATGGTACTTTTACATTCTCCTCCAACACCAGAACTCAAATGTATCAATTCTTCTACGGTCTTCCTTATTCACTGTCCAACTCTCACATGCATATGAGGTTATTGAAAATATCATGGCTTCGGTCAGGTGCACCTTAGTCCTCAAGCTGACATCTCTGTTCTTGAACACTTTTAAGAGGTCTTGTGCAGTAGATATGCCTGCTAATGCAATACATTCTTTGATTTCTTCACTGCTGCTTCCATGAGTATTGATTGTGGATCCAAGTAAAATCAAGTCTTCGACAACTTCAATCTTTTTTCATTTATATGGATGTTATTTATTGGTTTAGCGGTAAGGATTTTTATTTTCTTTACATTGAGATGCAATCCATATCGAAGGCTGCTGTCTTTTGATCTTCATCAGTAAGTCTTTTAAGTTCTCTTTGCTTTCTTCAAGCAAGGTTGTATCATCTGCATATCGCAGGTTGTAAAGGAATCTTCCTCCAATCTTGATGCGTGTTCTTAATATAATCCAGTATGATTCTGTAGCAATACTTTCTCCACTTACCTTCATAGAATCAGGACAGTATCAAGGGCAAAGGTGGCCTCTTTAGCCAGAGGCTGAATTGATAGTGTGAAGGTAGGAGGGGGACATAAGCTGGGTTCTGGTGGCCACTGCAGGGGTGGTGGGGAGGCTACCCATCTGTCAGTAGTTGCTGACCACAGCCTGCTTCACCCACATGGACAAGGGGAGAAGCTAGGGCCCAGGGAGCAGCAGCAGGACCCCAGGCCACCTGCCTTCCCTCCATCACCAGTCTCCTGCCCTGTGGGCGCCCCTCAAACGTCAATCTGGGGCAGATAGTGCATGTCCTTGAGACATGCTGGACCAGGAACCCAAGTAGAGAGGCCTAGGCAGCATGGGGCTTGAAGGGGGGCAGTGGGCATTGCTCCACCTATCTCCTCTGCTGGACGCACCACTCCTCCTCACAGTTGCAGAGGTGAAGGCCTTCATGATGCGGAAGCCTCGGGTCACAGGGCCAAGAACACCCTACTGGGATCGAACTGACAACAGCAACTTGGAAGTTTACACAGGAAGCTTCAGGGTCATGAGTCTTGCTCGTGGGGAGGAAGACCGTCACTGAATGCATGTCAGGGACTGCCTCTGTAGAACCTGACCTGGTGTTTGTTCTGCTATGCATGCTCTCAACAACAAAAATAAATTAAAAACATCTATGAAAGAAAGCAGCAAACTGGCTTCTCGGTGTCATTGTTTTGACTGGATCATGCCTTACCAGTCACTGGAGTTTGATGGATATGGATTAAAATTGGTCTTTTTATTTAAAAAAAAAAAAAAAAAAAGGCAAGGAAAATAAGCAGACAGCCCCTTCAGGGCACACTCCCCCAGCCTCCCCTGCTCAGAGAGGCGCCTTGGGTCCACCTCACCTCACCTAGCCCTAATACCCTTCTCTGTGGCCACACAGTGGGGTGCAACATGGCTGTGGCAGATGCTGGGGCTGATCCTGAGGTGTTCCAGGGCGGAAGGTAGAGCGCCAAGGGTCAGGGAAAGGGTGGGTCTGGGGCCAGGAGGGCCACCTGGCGGAGGGAAAGAAGACAAAGGCGCAGGTTTCTCTCCAGGAAGTGGATGACACATTTTAGTCGCAGGCACGAGGAGGTGGGAGGGACAGTGCAGGGCCACGGGGTGAATAAAAGGTCGAGAGCTAGGGTTTGGCGTCAATCTTACAAAGTGTATAAAGAATCTGTGTTTCTCTACCATAACAAAAACCAAAGGCTACAAGAGCGGTTGTATATACAAAACACGGAGATATTGCTTCCCTTGCAAACAGGTTCCTGACCAGATGGGGAGACAAGACAGAGGGGACAGAGAGCGCGCTGCGTGCAGAGAGAGGGAGCAAGGGCGGAAGGAACAGGGGAGTCTTCTCCCAGGGGAATCTACAGGCAGGAGCTGGAGGCACCCAAGCACGCACGCACGCAAGGCACGTACGCACGCTGAAGCCATCAAGGGCGTGCAGGCAGGCCATCGAGTCTCAAATGTGTCCGCCCGGCCCAGCCGCCAGGCACCTGGCTCTGTAGGCGTCAGCCTGGAGGGGACTCTGGGTGGGGGCAAGGGGCCAGCTGGGCCAAGTGGCCAGAGAGGGAGGGGGCAGCCGCTCCCAGAGTCTGCCGTGGAAAATGCAAGGACGTATGCTCGGCTGGGCTGTCCTCCTGGGCACCCCTGTGCACCCTCCCCACCCGCCAAGTATCCTGGGGGCCCAGGAGGAGCAGGAGTGGCAGGCGGGGATGGGCAGGGAGCTCGCTGGGAGGGCAGGCAGAACGAGCCAGTCATAGGGAACAGTGCGGTGGGGGGCCGGGAGGACGAGGCTGGGCACGCACGCTCGGGACCGGCGTAGGGGTCACAGGTTCTGGCAGCATTGCAGCTTGCTGGGCTTCTGTCCGTCGGTGGTCGGCGGCACGCTGATGTCCACCACGTTGTTGCCGGGGGACTCGTCGTGGGCTGCGCGGTCAGCTATCTGCTTCTGTGATACGATGCGGTAGATCTCTGGGGGAAAGGGGGGTGGCGCATGAGATGAGGGCGTGTGGGAGGGTCTGCTGGTCCACCACAGGGCCCTACGCAACCCCAATCACGTCTGGAGATAAGGACAGGCAGTGCTGGGCATCTGTCCTGGTCACCACTGCCCCCTCCCAGTCCTCTCATGTCCTAGTGTGCATGTGAACACTTCCTCCTCCTCAGAGCAGCTCCCAGCTCTGAAGTTCTAGAAGCTTCTGCCTTTGTTCATTTGCCTCCCTAGCTGATTGTTCCCTGAGGAGTCCCTGGCAGGCCTCCTGGTGGCAGCTGGCTGAGGGGTCTCTGTGTCACCCCCACCGGCAGGGGTCTGACCACGTGGAGTGTGCTTTGTCTGTCCCATGTCCACACGGATTGGCTGGTGAATGAACGAAGGGCCAGAGGTCAACATCTGTGAGGTTTGTGCCCCCTCCCCAGTCACCTCAGGCAGCCCCCGCAGACCCTGGGTCTACCTGTGAGGATGTTCTTGAAGGCTTCCTCTACGTTGGTGGAATCCAAGGCTGAGGTCTCAATGAAGGACAGGTTGTTCTTTTCTGGAACACAAAGAACACATCCAGCTGAACCTTGGGGGGGGGGGGGGTGCTATGTGCCCTATCACCTGGTGAACCTGCCCAGAAAACAAAGGGCTGGCACTAAGCCTTGGCCCAGGCACCCACTCCTCAGGGAACAAGCCAGGCCCCCAACACCTGCCTTCCAGAGCTTCCTGATTTCTCCTCCCTCAGGTGTATGGCACCATAGGGACCATGTGAAGACGGGCAGCCCCTCCTGCTCACCTGCAAAGGCGCGGGCCTCGTCTGTAGGCACAGCACGCAGGTGACGCAAGTCGCTCTTGTTGCCCACCAGCATGATGACGATGTTGCTGTCTGCGTGGTCCCGTAGCTCCTTCAGCCAGCGCTCCACGTTCTCATAGGTCAGGTGCTTGGCAATGTCGTACACCAGCAGGGCGCCCACCGCACCACGGTAGTACCTGCAGGAGTGGGTTCCAGGCATGAGCCTCGGTGGCTCTCTCAAGGGTGGACTTCTTCTCCCCTAGGCTCTCAGGGAGCTGAGGTACCAGCTCTTCCTCCAGATTTAGGAATGTGAGACTTGGGGAGGGGGCTTGGAGGATGACCCCACGGTTGAGACAGAAATGGGAGCATACAGCATCTGGGCATCTGTCCAAGACTGGGGCCTGGTCAGCGCTGCATGCAGGCTCCTCCACTGCGCACCTCCGCCTTGAAGGACGATGAAGACGGGAGGTGGTCACCCAAGCCGAGGTGTGTGAGATCCAGAGGTGGCTCTGCTGGGGAGGGGAAGGCCTGGGGCTCGGAGGTCTCAGGAGGCAGGATGGGTGTGGGACAGCCATGAGCTGCAGTTCAGAGAGGGTGACACCAAGGTAAGCTGAGAGACACAGCCAGCAGGTCCAGCCTAGTCGGGTGTGCAGAATGACCCAGCAGCTTGGGCTGACTGCAGATAACCTGGCTGGAATCAGCACAGGGAAAGATACCCAGCATTGCTAGTCACTGGGGAGATGTGATGGAGAACCATAGGGAGACACCACAACCACCTCTCCCCGCAGAAAGGGCTGTGTCTAAAACAATGGAAAACACCAGGCGTTGGTGAGCTTGTGGAGAAACTGGAACCCTTGTCCATTGTAGGTGGGAATGTAAAATGGTAAAGTCACTGTAGAAATCACTTAGCAGTTCCTCAAAAATGCAAAACCGTATGAACCAGCATTTGCATCACTAGGTACCTACCCTACAGGACTGAAAGCAAGAACGCCAACAGATACATGCCCACCACTGGTCACTGCACTGCCTGAATATTCCATCAATAGATGAACAAACGGGGGGTGGGGACATTGCTTAGGGGACACAGAGTTTCTGTCAATGGTGGTGGCAATATCTGCAAACAATAGTGGTGATCGTTGAACAACATGATGAATGTAATTAATGTCATTGAATGGTACCGCTAAAAATATGCTGGAGAATCCTGATCAAAAGGGGGGAGAGTGTAGAACAGAATCTCAAATTATCATGGAACCCAGACTTTCTGGAACCATGATTACCCTCAGTTATCTTTAAACTTTAAAGCAAAAATACTCCGTCGTTTTAAAAAACCTCAGCTGAAAGGAATAGCCAGAAATATCACAATAGAAAGCTTGCAAGTCCATCTTCTGCCTATAACTGACTGGAATACCTAAAATGGAGCTACAACATGCCCGGTAAAGAAGGCTTCCTGCAGAGCCTCTGCATTACTAAGACCATAGGTGGAATCCTGAACCCCATCCAGAATATTCTGAGGTGGGAATTTTCCACTTGAAAGGACGAGCAGACCAGCCTGGAGCGGCTAGAAGAACGGAAGATGCTTCTTGAAAGAAAGACTGACAGGAAAAATACACAACAATAACAGCAGTCCGACTGTTACTACAAGAACAAGCAAGTTGCTCACCCAGGAGACATCAAGGCAAGAGACTGGTTCCCCTCAGGGCAAACTCCCAAGACTAAAACTCAATGGGACTACACGCACAGACATGCGCTCTGATTGGTGACCACATTTATCACCGATAAGGGGAAGTGAGGGAAAAACAGCAATGAAGCTATGAGCTAAGCCCTACAACGTTCAATAGACTCCTGTGGAGTCAGTGTGGCAAGACCTGGGGACTCTTGGGCCCACAGTCAGTGACATAGCCTCAGAGGACTAGAGTGGAGAGTGAAGCATCCAGCTGATAAGAAGAGAGGGCATATGCATAAGAACACCCACACTTGCAGATAATACCCACTTGACCTGGCTTCAATGACTGGATGATCAGAGCCCAACTAGGAGAAGAAAGAAGAGGAAAAAAAGAATAATCTGATACAATTTGAAGAACTTGACCTACACCTATGGATGCAGTAGCTCAAAAGTGGGAACAAATCTTTACAGCGAGGATCATCCCCACCCCCTCCACACATGGAAAGGACAGGGATGTGCAACTTGGATACCGGCTACCCAAAATGGGAGGGGGGAGGAGCTACAAAGGCAAGAAGTGACTGGCTTACAAGCTTTCAAGAGGAAGCCTAGATCCAGAGGGCGTGGAGGAAGGTAGAATCTCCGCTGAGTAGTATCCAATCTGTCTGGGCAGGGCTGATGAAAGGAGATGGGCTAGGTCTCTTGTGGTACAACAGTGAATAACTGTTATCATGACCGACTGTGAGGTAAAGGTAGATGTTTTGTAGCTAAAGGAGTAACCTCATGTGCATGTGAAAGCTGAACAGTGAATAAGGAAGACCGTAGAAGAATTGATGCTATTGAATTTTGGTGTTGGAGGAGAATATTGAAAGTGCCATGAGCTGCCAAAAGAACCAACAGATCCGTTTTGGAAGATGTACAGTCAGAGTGCTCCTTGGAGGCCAAGATGGCCAAACTTCGTCTCTCACACTTCAGACATGTTGTCAGGAGGGACCAGTTGCTGGAGAAGGATATCATGTTTGGTAAGAGGGAGGGTCAGAGAAAAAGAGGAAGACCCCCAACGAGATGGATTGGCCAAGTGGCAGCATCGATGGACTCAAGCGTGGCAACAGTAGTGAGGTTGGCCCAGGATCGGGCAGTGTTATGTTTTGCTGTGCATAAGGTCGCTATGAGTCGGTACTGACTCGATGGCACCTAACAACAACATGCAAAGTATGCAATGAAATACCAACCGTAAAAAGTGAATGAACTACTGTTGTTATTGTTCTTTGGTGCCATTAAGCCAGTACCGACTCATAGTGACTCTGTGCACAATGGAATGAAACACTGACTACTCCTGCGCCAACTGCACAATCCTTGCTATGTTTGAACCCACTGATGCCGTTACTGTGACAATCCAGCTCTTTGGGGGATGGTTTCCTCTTTTTCTCTGACACTCCAATTTACCAGTCATGATCTCCTTCTCCAGACACTGGTCGCACCTGATAATATGTCTGAAGTATGAGGGGAAAAAGTCTGGCCATCTTGGCCTCCAAGGAGCATTCTGGCTGCACTTCTTCCAACACAGATTGGTTTGTTCTTTTGGTAGTCCACGGTACTTTCAATATTCTCCTCCAACACCAGAACTCAAATGCAGCAATTTTTCTACGGTCTTCCTTATTCACTTTCCAACTTTCACATGCATATGAGGCCACTGAAAATACCATGGCTTGTGTCAGGTGCACCTTAGGCCTCAAACTAACATCTTGGCTCTTCAACACTTTGAAAAGGTCTTGTGCAGCAGATTTGCCTAATGGAATACATCATTTGATTTCTTGACTACGGATTCCCTGAGTGCTGACGGTTGACCCAAGCAAAAAGAAGTTTTTGATAACTTTAATCTTTTTTCCATTTATATGGATGTTGTTTATTGGTCCAGTTGTGAGGATTTTTGTTTTCTTTACGTGGAGATGCAAGCCATACCAAAGGCTGTGGTCCTTTGATCTTTGTCAGTAAGTATTTAAATCCTCTTCGCTTTCAGCAAGTAACGTTGTATCTTCTGCATATCGCAGGTTGTTAATGAATCTTCCTCCAATCCTGATGTTTTTCTTCATATAATCCAGTTTCTCGGATTGTTTGCTCAGTGTATAGTTTGAATAACAGTGGTGAAAGAAAACAACGCTGGCACATACCTTTTCTTATTTTAAAACCATTCGATGTTCCCTTGTTCTATTCGAACAACTGATTCTTGGTCCATGTACAGGTTCTTCATGAGCACAATTAAGTGTTCTGGAATACTCATACTTCGCAATGTTGGTATTCTCTAATTTCAGCCAAGAGCCATCTGATATCAGCAATGATATCCCCCATTCTATGTCCTCTTCTGAATCTGGCTTGAACCTCTGGCAGTTCTCTGTCAATGTATGGCTGCAGCCATTTTTGTATTATCTTTAGCAGAACTATTGGTACATGCAGGAAACGAAAGTTCAAATATATATATTTTGAAATTGTTGAATGGTGTATGTTCTGTTGTGTATATTCTCAACAACAAAACTAAGTTTTTTAAAAATGGTTAGTGATGTTGAGTTGGCATATTTACCAAAGTCAAAGGAAAAAGAAGGAAGAGTGAGGTTGGCCTGTGTCCCCAGTTCTTGGGTTCCCCAAGTGATAAGGGTGTCTTTGCTATTCACAGTGAGTCTCCCCATGATTTATACCAATGAGATGACTTGGGATGGGGCCATGACCAGGCTAGAAAGATGCACCTTGTGGCTTAAGGGCTGGAGCTTTGAACCACACACAGATCAGCTCAAACTCCAGGGAGGGGAGAAGAGGGGGAGCTGAGTCTGATCCTGTGACCCTTGATTCAACCAATCCCACCTACATCATGAAGCCTCAATAAAAACTCTAGACACCCAAGCTCTGGGGAGCTTCCCTGGTTGCCAATACTTGGCGTATTGTCACACATGGATGTGTAAGGAGGGTAACGCATTCTAATACAATGGGAAGGGATACAGAAACACCAAGGTTGGGACCCTCCCGGACTGCGCCCTGTCTCTCCCTTTAGCTGGTTCTGATGTATATCCTTTGGCTGCAGTGAAACGATAATAGAGCAGGCCTGGGACTGAACTCACCACATGGCACAGCTCAGCTTCCGGCTAATAACAGAGTGAACAATAACACCAGGGACACACACACTCCTTAGGACAACTGGCCATCAGACATCCAATGGGCAGTACTAGCCTTTGGATAGAGCTCAGAGGCAGGAAAGGATCGGAAGGAAGGATGAAGTTAAACAGGAAACGGGGGGTGGGGGGGTGGAAGTGGGGGCAAGTGGGAAGAGTGTTGCTACATCGTGGGGATTGTAATCAATGGCACAAAACAAAACATGCATGAACTGTTAACCGGAAAACCAATGTGCTCTGTGAAGTTTAACACAAATCACAATCAAGTTGAGTGCTGTCCTGAGTTCTTGGTGCCTGAAGGGGTAGAGGGGTGCCCCCAAATTTGGAGCCAGCTAGCAAGGTCAGCAGTTTGAAACTACCAAATTGTTCCGAGGGAGAAAGAGGAGGCTTTTCTGCTCCTGTAAAGATTTACAGCCTCGGAAACCCTATTATAGGGTCGCTATGAGTCAGAACCGACTCCACTGCACACAACAACAACAACAACAACAACAAAAAATCAAAAGGGAAGCTGGTCTAGGGACCCTGAGCCTGCGGCTGGTGTTTGAAATGAGACCCAATGTCAGATAGTTGGTTTCTGAACCCACTGTGTTCCCGGAATTCAGTGTTCCTCATAGTGCCCCTGAGGAGGACCCCATGGACACCACATGGCTCCTGGGGGGTCTCTGTGGGTCTGCGCTCCAGGGCAGTGTCCAGCGTCCCCTCCATCCCTGCTCCCACCCCACTCACGCAGAGGTGATGGCGCGGTAGCGCTCCTGGCCGGCCGTATCCCAGATCTGTGCCTTGATTGTCTTGCCGTCCACCTGGATGCTGCGGGTCGCGAACTCCACGCCGATGGTACTCTTGCTCTCCAGGTTGAACTCATTGCGGGTGAAGCGTGACAGCAGGTTGCTCTTCCCCACGCCCGAGTCCCCGATGAGCACCACTGTAGGGGAACACGTGTGTGAGCTCGGCCCCCACTCCACTTCCCAGGAACCTTCACAGCGAACCCAGCAGCCCAGCCCTGCCCAATCCGTGGAGGCGGAGCATTCCTGGAGCTCCGCCCCCGCAGGCAATAGGCTGCCTGGTGCAGAAGCAAATGAAGGCGGGGCGGGGGTGGAGCTTCAGAAAACACAGTCCTAGGCAACAGAGCCTGTCTCAAGACCTCCCCGGCTACAGCCTGTCACCCACCCCCAACCCCGCATACCCATAGAGTACCACCAAGGAGCTGTGCAGCCTGGGCAAGTCACCTAACCTCTCTGGGCCGAATGTGTGGAAAGGGAAAACCTGTAAGGGGAGCAGCCACCGAAAGGAGACCAAGGCAGCAAGCTGTTTTGAACTCAGCAGGCAGGAGGGAAGCTATAGGAGCGAGCCCTAACTGATGGCTGAGTTTCCATGGTGTGTGTGTGTGTGAAGAGATTGAAATGTGTACCCCCAGCCCTGCCCCAGAATATGCATTGAAGTCCTGGCTCCTATACCTGTGGGTGGGATCCTGTTCGGAAACTGTTTTGCTCTGTTCATTAGCTCATACTAATGAGGGTGGGTCCTAAACCCAATTACTTCTGATTCTGAGTTACAGACATGGCGTCCATCTCTCCCCTACGTGTGGATGAGCAGGTTAGATACACCAGTCAGGGAGAGACAGGCACCACGTGAGGATCTGATTACAGGCAGAGGAACGCCAAGGCACCAAAGGACACCTAGAGTCACCAGCCGACATCAGAAATTAGGAGCGAGGCTCACCCAAGGAATTGACTGGGCTGAGATGATGACTTGGGTTTTTAGGTCCAAGGGCGGCAAGGCAATAAAAGTCGCCCATTTGTGGTGTTTCTGTTGTGGCAGTCCTAGGAAATGGAGGCATGTGGGAAGGAGCAAGCTTCTAGCAGATTCTTTCTCATAAGGGTCTGTCTCTGGAATTTTAAGTGGCTTGAAATGAGACACACCATTTGTACCCCTATGCCTCAGCTTCTTCACAGAGCAAGACCAAGGGGACCAAGCTGGCTACGGCCAGCTAAACCAGGCTAGGGAAGAACTGAACGCTTTGATCAAAGATTCTACAGATGAATTCTGATCAAAAGGGTGAAAAATGGGAGACAGAGTTCCCAAATCTCATGGAATCAAGACTTTTCTGGAGTCACTGGTGTTGGATGAACCCCAGACATTACTGCCCTAAGATTATCTTTAAACCTTAAACCAAAAATATCCCCTTAAGTATTCTTTAAACCAAGTAGTAGCAATCTAGCTTCACTAGTAAACAAAAAAATGCCTGCTGGGAACACTGGGCTCTTTTTAAAGAGTTACCTGCATGGGATCCTACTGAGAAGAGCAACTTAAAATATTAGACAGGAAGCTTAGTGGGTAGTGAGTTTATCTTAATAGTGGTTGCTATTCTAAGTGCCCTGGAGTTGGTTCTGACTCACAGCGACCCTATATAGGTGTCCTCAGAGTGACTGGTGGGTTAGAACCGCAGACCTTGTGGTTAGCAGTCCAGTGCTTACCCTACTGGGTGGGCCACACTAGGACTCCTGTCTCAATAGAGGAGGAACACACCAGAGAAGGGCAGTGGGAAGGCTGCACAGCTTGGGAACAGAATCAATGTCACTGAATGTACATGAAGAAATGGTTAAAGCAGCGTGTGTTTTTAAGAATTCAAAACAACAAACAACTTTCCCACACTCAGGTCTAGCACAAGCCGTTCCTTGGTAGAAGAAACGTAGCCTCTGGAAACCACGAGGAAGGGACAGAGCCGGCCACCCCCTCCCACCGCTTGTCCCCAGGTGCTGGCTTCTGGTTGCATGTCAGTGAATGTCCAGCCCTTTGTAGAGGTGTCAGGGCAGGTGGGTGACGTGGTGCACGTCCACACACGCACAGTTAACAGATGTCTGTCTGTTCCTGTCACTCCCCCCACATCTGCCCCAAAGTGGGCTTTGCCAGCCCAGAGGGTCTCACGCCTGCCAGTCCAGGGGCCCCATTCATGCCCCAAAAGGGGGGTCAAGGCAACATGTCTGGGAGGAGCAGAATCCTCCCAGGACAAGGTACCTGACCCTGCTAAACACAAAGTGGGTGGCAGCTGCCCAGGGCCCTGAGAGGGAGGTGTCCAGATGAGGGGCAAGAGCTGGCCACTCTGCCTCCAGGCCACTCAGAGCTCTGTAGAAGTCACAGTGCAGGGACAGCAGTTCTGAGAATGTTCTGGAGGCCCACGTGACAAAACGCTCAGGGAAGGTGTAAGGTGTTCAGCTGTATGAACAGCTTCTCCACGCCGGATAGAGACGCTGCTGACTTTTCAGAAGTAGATCCCCAGGTCTTTCTCCCAAGGAGCCTCTAGGTGGACCTGAAGCTCTGAATCTTTCTGTTAGGCAACGGGTGGTACCCTTGCAGCCGATTCTCCTCCACAACCACCAGAGGGGGTTGTGAGCACCATTTCAGGCCCGTTCCTACCATGCCCAGAGCACTGCCCACAACTCCCTACACACCCAAGCCCCATCCCTGTCCTCAGATGGGACGCAGCAGTACATGATCCCTCCAGCATCCCTTCACCTAACCAAACCAAACCCACCACCACTGAGGTGATTCCTACTTATAATGACATTGAATAGAGGTACCAAGACTGTAAATCCTGACTGGGGCAGACAGCCTCACCTTTCTCACATTGAGCAGCTGGTAGATTTGAACCACAGACCTTGTGGTTAGCAGCCCATTGTCTAACCCACCATGTCACCAGGGCTCCTCCATCTCCTTCACAGGGTCACTCAAATGCCACTGGGTCTCTTATGTAAAGCCCAGGCACCCTGGCCTCCCCATCCCCTGCAATACCTTTGCTCCCTCTGCTGCCTCACACTCACAGACTTTTTGCCTGTCCACCCTCTGCACTCCTGAGGGAGGGACCTGGTGGTCTTGCTCTCTGGTCTCCCCAGGACCTGGCACTGAGTAATGGCTGGCAACCCAACAAACGCCCAAAAGGCTCACGGAGCCTCCCAGGCAGTGCCCACCACAGGTCGGAACCATCCTAGGAGGCTGCCCAGGGGGCCTGCACCCTCTGCATTGTCTGCTTACAAGCTGAGAACAGTATCTTCTGAGGGAAAGGTTCAATATCATTAGCTGTTGTTGTTGTTAAGTCCTGTCAAGTTGGTTCTGACTCACAGCGGCCCTCTAGGGTCTCCAAGGAATGGCGGATGGATATGAACCATGGACCTTGCAGTTCAAATTGACTTTGTGGTCCAGGGCTTATCTTACAGTGCCACAGCAGAATTCTGCCACTAGAGAGATGCAAATCAAAATAACACTGGTGTATCACCTCACCCCAGCACTAATGTTGTTAGTGTCGTCAAGTCAGGTCCAACTCATAACAACCCAGTATAGGCTTTCTGAGGTACGACTGTTGAGTTTGAACCACCGACCTTGTGGTTCAAACAAACCTTGCAGTCCTGTGCTTGTCCCACAGAATGATATATTAGTAGCAAAGTGCAAAAAAAAATAAAAAATACCAACAAATACTGATGAGGTGTGGGAGACTGGGAGCCTCCTACTTGGCTTGTGGGACTGTAAAATGGTACAGCCACTGTGGAAAATAGTATGGCGCATCCTCAGAAAGCTAACCGAACAATGCCCCTACATACCCACAAGAAATAAGAGTCATACCATGAGCAGATACAAGCACAGCTAAGTTCCTCACAGCACTATTCACAACAGCAAAGAGATGGAGACAGCCTAAGTGCCCATCAATGGAGAAACGGATAAACAAACTCTGGTACATACGCACAACGGAAAACTATGCAATGATGAAGACTAATGATGAACCTCTGAAATGCCTCATAACATGGGTGAACCTGGAAGACGTTATACTGAGTGAAATTAGTCAGTCACTAAGCTGTAGGGTAAGCAATGGACCACAAGATCAGTTTGAACCACATGGTCGGTGGTTTAAGCTCACCAGCTGCTCCTCAGAAACCCTACACAGGGTCGCTATGGGTCAGAACTGACTTGAAGGCACTTGTAATAACATCAAAGGACAAATATTGTATAAGACCACAATGCAAAAACTCAAGGATAGGTTTTCATGCTAAAAAAAATATGCTTTGATGGTTACCAGGGTTGTGAGGGAAGAGAGAGAAGTTCAGTGGTCAAACGGTAAATATGTATTAACTCAGGGACAGGGAGGGCAACATACAAGAGGGAGGTTGGTAGAATGATGAAGACAGGTGAAGACAGGGCAGTATGCAAGGGTTAAAAGGGATATTCATGCTGCAAACACACCTTCCTAACGTGGTGGAACAAAAACTTCTTAGATATTTTCAAACCTCTTAAGGCAATGAGTTCCTGGACCTGAGGGCTCAGGACCATAGTCTCAGTGGACACCATGGTCAGTTGGCACAACATAGCCCACAAAGACCGGGCTCTACATCCTCCTTTGCTGAGTAGAATCTGGGCTCTTAAAAGCTCATGAGTGGCCATCTAAGGCACAGCTATGGGTCTCTCCATGAATAAAGAAAGAAGAGCGATGTGAATTGAAGATGCTTGGAATCAATTAGTCTGATGGAGTGATGGAACATGTGACCACCAGTCTCCAATGGAGTGATGGAACATGTGACCACCAGTCTCCACAGCTCTGAAACCAAAAGACCTAGAAGGTACTCAGCTACCACAACCAACTGCTCTGAAAGGGATCATCATATTAGAAGGTCCCAGGTAGAGTGGAAGACAGTGTAGAACAAAACGTACAACTATATAAAAGACTGGGCTTACTGGTCAGAGAGAGACTGAAGGAATCCGAGACGAAGGTCTGGAAAGGAACTCACCCTCATGGGCCCATTTTCAGCTAAATAGTAGATAGGTTTATAGGGGGGCAACAACATTAGTATGCTCTGCTCACCATGGAATGGTCAATCATTGAAGATCAAAAGGGCACCATTCACCTAAGGACAAAGTTGAGAGGGATGGGAAGGAGGC